TGAAAGCTCTCACTGTTTTTTACAGAAGCCCTGTGAAAGCATCACAGCTTTGCTTTGCGATCTCAAAGGATTAAATGGAAAAAAAATTCTATATCCACATCGTGATCCGGAACATCACCAAAATTTAATGGTGTGTTACTTGTGCTAGTACCCACATGAGTTGTAAATGTCATGACAATCCGTCCACAAGTTTTTGAGTTATGTTGTCCACAGACAGACCGACCGACCAACATACACAACCGAAAATATTACCTCGCCATTGGCGGAGGTAATAACAGTAAATATATTGATCGCTTCTATTCCTTCAGAAATCTTGATCTTTTTGTAACCTGCTTCAGTTTCCATTAAACTGTCTGATACTATTAGAACTAATCTGCTGGTTTTTAGTGTTAGTTACTTTTCTAAAGACTTTTGATTTTAGCTTCAAATTTGCCACAATTTGATTTTAGCTACTAATCTTCCTTTTTTGTAAATTATAGCTACCATTTTGCCATTCTTTTTATTTTAGCTACTATTCAGCCATTTTTAGCTACCATTCTGACACTTTTTGATTTTAGCTACTAATCATTTTTTTTGTAAATTATAGCTACCATTTTGCCATTCTTTTTATTTTAGCTACTATTCAGCCATTTTTAGCTATCATTCCGCCACTTTTTGATTTTAGCTACTAATTTGCTACTGTTTGATTTTTAACTTAAATTTCTTGGTTTTTTTTTTAGCTACCAGGTTTTCTCTTCTTTGAGCTTTTGTTAGCTTTTTTAAACTTCAGCTGTTTTATGTTCAGCTGGTTTTGAATCCTTCAGCTGCTCTCAGCAGTCGTTCTGTATTTTCTGTGAAAAATAATTTCTCAGTTTGTGATTTTATTTTTAAATTATAAAACATTTTGTTCTGTTTCTGAGTGTTGACGTTCATCTTGTCCTTGAATTCTCAAACAGCCGACTCTTTTCAGCCTGCTGGCCCTTCGCCTCGTGTAAATGGATTTTAGCTCATAAAACCTGCCGTCTGGTCAAAACGACCCCCACATCTCGCCCTTTTTGTTTTGGTGCAAAGTTTACTTTTTAATTCCATCTGCATCACACTGACCTAAAAATAAAAAAGCTTAGCTTTAGACGACCAACGAGTTACTTTAAAATTACAACAAAAAATAAATTATTTTTGGTTTCTATGAATTTTATGTTCCCTGTGTCGACAGGTTTACATAAATTAACTAAAAATTCTGTGAAATTGTTAAATAGCAGCCTTGCACTGAAATTCATGTCCTAAAAAATGAAAAGTGCTGCATCCTGCTGCTTTTCGAAGCGTCTAACTCTAAATCTGGAGTTCCTGCTGCTACAGAAAATCAATTAAATCTCGGTGTAAAAGTCTGGACCGACCATCAATCTGTCCTCGCTACAGAAACCAGATCAATGAGCTGCAGAGGTTCTGGTTCTTTGTCCCGACAGAACATCCTCAGATCATCATGTAAAGAACTTATTATTAGTGTTTTTAATTAGTTGGGTTGTAGTTTTGTAATAGATGCGTGTTTTTATTTTTTCATGTTTAACTTGGACGGTTGCGTAATCTCTTATCTAAATATTTGTGGTGACTTCAGCTCCCAGTTGTGCTCAGATACGAGACGTTCTCTTGGTTCTTGGTGGTTTCTAACACGCCTCTCGGCCCTGAGTTTCAGTTTCAGCCCCGTCAGAGCAGATCTTTCTCGTTATCTGCCCCGATCCGTTCTGCAGGAGGACGCCAGCTGCTTTTCACATCTGATAAATACTGAAACACTCGCTGTTGTGACGACAAGCAAACACTTTGCCTCCGTTTGTCTTTGAGTTGTCAGACTCAGACCTGTTTTCTGTTTACCGTCCTCGTGAGGCAAAACTTTCACTTCTTAAATTAGTGGTGCTCAGAGTTTATGTTTGTAGTTCATCATGGTGGAGCTTTCTCCTCCTGGTCTCTGGTTGGTGGACTTTGATTATCGTCAGGTAACCTCTAGGACAGGGTTCTTAACCTTTTTGACCTCGGGGCCCAATTTGTTGAACATAAAGTGTCACGAGGCCCAGTCACACATTACCAATATATGGATCAAAATGATAATTATTATAAATCTTGGTTTAATTTTTATTGTATTTACATCATAACTAAACTATCATAACTAACTTAACTAAATAAAATACACTTACAGTTTAAAAGTAAAACTCCTGTCAAATAAACACAAGACATGATTATGACAAACATTTTTATATTGTAACCTGCCCATATTTGAACAAATACAAAGGTAGGTTTCTAAGGTTCTTCTTCTACTTATTAAAAAAGTTGTTAAACATCTGAGTGGTGCACTACTGCTGCTAGTGGTGAGAAAGTGTATTGCACTTTATTCAAAATCAATGTGGTCCCACGGCCCTTTGCGGCCCAAAGTTAAAAACTGTTGTTCTTTTGAGGCCCCCAAGGTGGCGCTCGTGGCCCACAGGTTAAGAATCTCTGTTCTAGGACACACCTGGTTATGGTTAGTGAGCTCATCCAGTCTGGTCTGCAGAAGATTAACTCACACAGCTGGTCGCTCAGACATTTGTTTATCTCAGAAGGATGTGAGAAGTTCTAATAAAGGAGAACTCATGTTTAAGTCTGTTAACATCTGTGACTTTGTTTAGACGTTTACAGGACGTTCATGTTGGCCAGCTTCACTCTATAAATGCTTCAAACCTTTTACCTTCTTGAATCCTAAAAATAACAATAAAACTAGATACCGTTTAGCATATACAGTATGACCCCCGCATGTATGCTAAGCACCAAGACTCAGAATTGGCCCCGTTGATCTGGGCAGTGGTTTCCATTGGCTTCAGCCACTCAGTTTTTAATGTTTGTATATTTAAAATACCTAAAGACTGATTTGTTGTAATTACCGTATTTATTCAAGTATAATACGTAAAATTTAATCCATAAAATCATCCATAAAGTTGGGGGGTAGTACTATGCTTGGATAAATATTTTTACTTATGTATTTTAACTGAAATATTGGCAAAATGCCTGAGTCCGGAAAGGAGATCGCGTCATAAAAAGCAGTTGAAACGAGCTTACCTCTGACACTCCTCCGTGCTTCAGAGCAAGATAATAACAGATCCAAGCAGGAGACATGATGTGAAAAAAAGGGGAAAAAGCAGTCCTGCAGCTCAGTAATGATAACAAACTAATGACATTAGCGTGTGACCGGGCCGCTCCTCGAACAACAACAAACACATGTTCGTCTGTAATGGCTGCCATCTACCGATGTTCGGAAAAGGTTTGTATCCCTGAAAAAAGTTTCCCCACCAGAGGGGGGCGCTGACGAGTAGGAAGTAATCTGCTTTTCCCCCACAAGATGGTCCAAACCTCATGTGAAGTCTCTGACTTTTGTGTTGGCGCCTCCTGGTGGACT